AGTTACATTATTTTCCATCCGTGCAAGGGGATAGAAAGGGCCCCAATTACCTTGGGTATATACATAAATACAAATCAGTTGTGCTCTTGATACAGTCATTTACATTTTGTCTATCTTTTCTAAATAAGTACTATACATATACAGGTTAGTATAAAAATAAATTTATCATGATAATTTGACTTCCTTTACATTTCTGATATTTCCCTCTGTACTGTTTGGAAAACAGTAAGAATAACCAAGTCCCAGTCTGATGTTCAGAATTCTTTAATCAGTTGTATATGTGTGAATGTGGTAAAGAGCTGAAAAAATATATAACAAAAAAACATAAGTACATATGACAATCAAGACACAAAACAAAATACAAATTCATATCAAATTAATTCACATAATAACCTAACTTAAATACAACAATACTGAGACAATGAAAAAGTGTACATGTAATTTATAGCATGGTGCCTAGCAAGGGAAATGACCATAAAAATAGGACGTAATTGAATATAAATATAATGTGCACCATGGGAAAAAATAGTAAGCCTAAATAAATCAGTTATAATAAGAAATAAGATTAACTCACAGAAAATAGATGTCAACTTAGTAAGACTTCAACATGTAAACACGAGAAAAAATGGCGGTCTTTATAAAGTAGCAAGGACATTTTGCGAGGACATAGATGGAACAAAGTAGCAGAGGTATACTGCACAAAAACATAAATGCCGCGGGACCGCTCCACGTTGGGTCAACGCAGGTAAAGAATACAAGAACACAGGAGAGTTACACTAAAGAGCAATAACTCCAAACATTATCAGTAAACCCAGGAAAGACAACTCTCCGTTCCACTACACCCTCTGATTTTCCCCCGCTTTAAATGCCTTATCACCGCTTCAAAAATTACCTCAATATTTTATATCTACCTTAGACATAATTGACAGATCTATATATAGCCATTTGAGAACTAACATCTAAGGCCGAGGAATGACATTTACCGAGTTTTTAAATTGAGAGGAAAAGGTTTATAATTAAGTATTTCTTTACATTATTTGTACATTTGACTCAATTTCATTGTAACCTTTTTTCAACATCGGTAATTCTATGTACATGTAATTAAACTTTGCTATGGACGTTTGAGGTGTATTTTAAAACACATTGAGGATTGTACCATTTTAATTTAATTACACTTGAAGGATTTTTTTTATGTTATCCGCCGTAAAATATTGATACCTGAAACCAAATTTGGTAGTTTATCTAGCAAGGGTGAGTGTATGTCTTGTATATTCTACGTAAGAAATTTACATTTGTAGGTGTTAATATCTTATTCTTAAAAATGTGCCGAATTTTGATGATATAAATAATAAATCCTTTTTTTTAATATATTCGATCAATGCATACTATTAGTGCAAGATACAAGACATTGTATATTACTGTATTCAGCGGCGACTCACACATATTGTTCCGACGAAAAAAGCCCCATCGTTAATCAGTAGATACAACATAATTGTTCATGATAAGAATAATGTTGTGTATATATCATGAGTAAAAGAAACCAAAATTAATGTTAATTTTTCCTCTTGCACGTCTGCCAGTGTTGATTTTATAAAGAACATTATAGCATTTGTTTAGTAACTTTCTGGGCAGCTCTCGAATTCGATACATGACGAGAGTTTTCAAAGTGAATGGACGTGTTTTTCATCGCTCTTCATGATCTTTGAGTTCTCCAGATAATGCTGTTCTAATTAAGTATGATACCAAAATAAGTATAAACCTGTACTTCCAAGAAACAGATTTATACCAATTTTGGATTTTTATCATGTCACCCATCACATACTAAGCATAATATTCCATTATGGAAAGGCGCTATTGCACAATAGTAACCAATACAATTTTACGATAGAAAAAGGTTAGAAGAATTTAAATCATATCCAAAAACAAAATTCTTATCAAACACAATCTCATCAATTCCGGAATTGAAAAGGCAAAAAAATCCTACTTTTTACTAGGAAACATCCCCCGCAAAACGAGACTTTCCAACGCCTAAAAGTGACAATGCTAAAAACCTGCTGCTAAAAGATTTTGAAGAATTTGCCATGAAACTCAGATGCAAATTCCACTTTGATACCGGAGACGGCAATGTCATTCACCCCTTTAACAAAAAAACTGGCTACAAACCGCCATTTACATGGAGCAAACTCGAGGAATATATAGATAAAGCAAAATTGGAACTTTCCTCTTTGGACATTGTAAAAAAGAGATCAAACATCCTAAATGCTGAAGAGAAGCTATTTTATCTCTAAAAAATAACAACGACATTGTTATTTAAAAAAACAGATAAAAGCAACACCATTGCCATAATGAACAAAGACCAGTATGTCTTAAAAGCACAAAACCAACTGCAATCTAAACAGTATATGTCAAGTATCTGATCCCAACATGCTCAAAACTGCATGAAAACATTCAAAATAAAGTTGCTGAAATACATTCAAATAGGTCACTGGACAAAGAAACTTAAAAAATTTCTTTATGACAAGAAAACCTTCACTCAAATGTGGGCATTTATTCCTTTTACCGAAAACCCACAAAATACCAGCAAACATTTACAATGCTCTTATAAACGGTCAGTGCAGCATTAGAAAATTACCACCTGGTAGACCAATTATCTTGCAATGCGATACGCCAACAAGGAAAATAGGACAATATTGTGTTTTTTTCTTGTACCCATTGTACAAAAACAATCCACTTATATTAAAGACACTATGGACTTTATCACCAAAATCGAAGGCCTCACATTGCCAACAAACGCATTATTAATTACTTAAGATGTGACGAGCATGTACACAAACATGAAATTCAACGAACTTGTTTCATCAGTAAATGAATATTACAAAAAAAGCAAAAAAAAACACAGTTAGACATTCCATATCCGGACTCTGAGGATCTAAACTTCTTACTGAAATGCGTCTTGGAATACAATTACTTTGAAGTCAATGAAAAATATTACAAACAAATAATAGGAACAAGTGTGGGTGCAGTCCCCAGTCCCGAGATATGTGACATCAGAATGTATCAAATCACAAAGCATATTATGGCACAATTTCGTCACCACAGCAAAATTGTCTTCCACGGCAGATACCGTGATGATGGTTTCATAATACGCAATGGAACGCAACCAGAGATAGAAGAATTCTTCAACATCGGCAATCACTGTCACAAGCATCTCAGATCTACATTTGAAATTTCTCCATCTGCTGTGAACTTCCTTGATATTACAGTTTATTTATAAGGGACAGAAATTTCAAAATTTTAACAAACTTGATATCAAGTCGTTTATCAAAGCAACAAATAACTTTCAATACCTACACGCCCAGCTGTGTTTAAAGGATTCATTAGAGGAGAATGCATTTGACATGCAAAAAATACTACTAACCCTGAAATATTACATGCAGCACTTAATGACTTCAAGACACACTTATCAAAGTGAGGTAACTCCATTTCGAAAACTGATCCTATTATCAAGGAAACGGTCAACACAAACTAATCAAAACTCATCATGAAAAAGACTCAAAAACAGTCATTACGTAACCCTACAATACTGGTTACCAAATTTAACCCTTGCGTTAAAGGACTGAAAAAACGAATTTTGAAATACTGGGACACCATTCTTAGAAATCCAGAATGCAAAACTTTATCTTATTCTCAACCAATCATAGCTTACAGCAAACAGAAGAATATAGGTGACGAGATAATCCGGTCTCACCTAAAACAAACACCATGATTTATATCCGTGACTCCTGATGAGGCTTCTTAATAGCTGAAACACTCTACAATTACCCGTACTTGCACAATACAAATCAAATATGTAAAAAATCATATCTACTAGAAGTGCGGTTTAGAGTGTAGGGTCCAAATAAATCTCTTACAAGATTGGTTGATTGATGTCGCTGATTTTCACAAGGATGATAGGGAAAAAAGCGACATTCCTTTTTTGTAATGCATAATCCACGCAACCAAAACATTTTATGAACTGCCAAGAGATTTTTTTCCATTTAAGAAGAAGGATTTGGAGATTACAAACAATATTCAATATCAAAGTCCATAAAACAATACAAAATAGGAGCAGAAGAAACACGGGCCTCTAAAACATTAAAAGTCGGATAAGGTGCAATGGAGGACCCTGCTGACCGAACCGTCTCAAAATCTAAAAGACGCTATCAAGAAGTCACAAATGATTAATACATTTAGCAGAGGACAGGCACCCAGTCTAAAGCAAATCCTACCTGAGCAAAAAAAATTACTCAATCTTCCACTGCACATGATCCTACCTCTGATGTTTTTTGACTTTGAGAAAGAGAAATGGAGAGAGAGAGAATCGAACCTCGTTATTTCAACATCATGGGGACCGAGAAAAAAAATATCGGATGATTCAACATATCAAGGGTAAAATACTTAAGAAATACGTGGTTAGGACTTCAAATCATTGCGACACTTCCATTGTGTTCGAGATGTCCGTGTTAGAGATATCAAAGTTTACTCCAAATAACTCCATTTCTAATATTTCTGATCAATATTGCCATATTTTTTGTATATTCTTGCAAGTCATAGAAATACATTTTTGCCTTGGGGAGAATGGACGACTTGTAGTGTAACCTGTGGTAACGGTTCCCAACAAAGTCATAGGTGCTGTGACGGATTCTGTTCTGGTTCGTCTGCAGAATCAGGGACCTGTCATTCACGCATTTGTCCAGGTAGAAGAATAGTTTTATACTACGATAAGGCTTGATATAATTTAAACATTTTTATTTTGGTTTAACCTTGTTTCCAGTAAATGGTTCGTGGGGTTCATGGGATAACTACAGTCCCTGTGATAAAACGTGCGGGAACGGCTGGAAAGTCAGATTCAGGAAGTGCAGTAATCCTCAGCCGGCACATGGTATTCCTTGCATCGGTGATTCATTGGGAGCAGTGCGGTGCAACACGTTTTCTTGCCCCGGTATAAAGATACACAATTTTTATATTTTTCAAAAAGAATAAAAACATGATTAGTACCAATAGGATCAGTCATTACTACGCTTGTTGGATAGTGAAATATCACCAAAGGGACAAGATTCATGGTCTTGGACGAGGCTTTGAATCATGTTCTCGAGGTGGAATTTCACTTTTCAACACAAGTATGTAATTAATGATCATTTTTTGCATTATTTTATCCAAAATAACGATCTGTTAATGACGTTTGACAGTAGACCAAAATATATTGTTTAGATTTTTAATCTTATTAAAAATCTGAATACACCGTCTGAAAAGCTTACCTGAAAATGGTTTTCATGTGGTGTAAACTAGGAAAATGATTTTCAATTCATATAAATTAATCAGAAAGATAAAAATTCGGAAAAAAATTATCTATCCTTTATCCCACCAATTCATTTTAAAGGAATCTTTCCGAGGTCTATAGATAGTGTCATTTTCAAAGGAAAAATACATCAAAATTTTGAATGAAAACAATTTAACCTTAATAGTTTAGATGACACCATTTAAAGTATAAATATATGTGTTTTACCATTGCTACGATTTCTTAAAATAAAGACACAAGAATAATTCTAATCTTTGATATCCTTGAAATGCCGAAGCCAGGCCTATATCTTGCAAAAATTTCTAATATATCCTATATGTATATGTGAGGTATTTTCCTAACTATGTGGATTCTTTTGATGATTACTGAATTACAAAACTTATAATTGAACGATTTTGACTCATAACGTAACTTTAATAACTTTAATAGGTCATCTCGCATTTCCGAAAAGAATACATTATAATAACAAATATTCCTCATCAACGCAGCATATTCAAGCCTGAACATTTTTTTTCAATTTTTACATGCAACAAAATGAATGAAATGTTTAAAAAAATAAATCTTTACATGAGAGAACAAGAAGCACTTGCTGTGAACATCAAAACCATCATTAAGATACATGTATATTGACGATATGTTATCAATTAAAAATTTACTTTCAATTATAGGTCGATTCAATACATTCATACCTCTGTCAGCCTAAAGTAAAAAAGCAATACAGGAATCTGACACAAGTGCTTCGTATTTGAACATTTTACGAAACAATGACTTTAATGGTAGACTATTAACAAGGTTTGATGACTTGAACTTTAAATCGTTAACTTCCCCTACATATGTATCGATATATCCTTATCACTTGCATATTGTTTTTTTGTCAACTAGTTTATTAAATTTGATACGCAAGAACATGCTGTTTGGTTATAAAACAAAGCAAGCCATTGAAGAACAAAAATATCAACGGTCTCGTTTGAAGCCATTTTTTGACAAGTTCCAAGGTCGTTATAACGACCTTATCAGAATGTACAACTTGTCTTCAAGCTAAATGCTTAAAAATGTTTTTCATACTATCTGTCGGGCCATAATATGCACTCTGAATTGGCCAGGGACGTTTTCGCATTGTTCCTGATTTTACAAAGAACACGCGACGGGAGTGGAAAGCGGTTGTAGTTGATGGACAATGGTCAGCTTGGTCAGGATATGGACAGTGTAGTAGTAGTTGTGGGGCCGGTGTTCAGATAAGGATTAGAAACTGTTCTAATCCTGCACCTGAATATGGAGGTCACAACTGCTCAGGAAGGTTTAAGGAAAGCCAACCGTGCAACCTCAGGAAATGTCCAGGTTCTCTTTTTCCTCCCTGAAATAATTTGTCATTGTTCAATGAAAGCCAAAACGTTGATTTTATGTATTTGTTTGGTTTTCTTTTTTTGTATTTTTCCATCTTTAATTGTATTTTGGATCGTGTTAACATTGTAATACAAATAAATGATGAACAATTGTAGTCAACGGTAATTGGGGTCAATGGGGTAACTTCCGGCCATGTGACATGCCTTGTGGTGGGGGAATCCATATCAGAATGAGAAGATGTGACGACCCACCTCCTTCATATGGAGGGCTTCAATGCTCTGGTCAATCAGTTCAAACAGAGGCGTGCAACACTCAATCGTGCCCAGGTACAGTATGAATGAATCCCGCACAAGGTCAATTTGTGTACATTTTTTAAAAATTGTTTTAATAATTGTATTTGCATTATTTCAGCTACCAGTCAACCAATAAATGGTCTGATCGGATAATGTTGTCACAAATATTATAATACATGTGTTTATCATTAAATGGCAAGTATATTCCCTCTCATTCTTTTTGATTTAGTCAATTAATATTAAAGATATTTAATCTCTTTAATTATTAAATTAAGCAGAAAAAAAGCATTACACAAGCAAACGAAAACACCATACAATGTATTCAGATGAAAGTTAGATTTTACTACATTAATAAATAAAAAAAATCCGTTGGTGGAAAAGCTGAAGCTCATTTGGTACACAATTTATTTCTTAATTGACCCTTTTCGTCTTAAGTAAGTTAAACATCCAAATGAAGGATATAGACATACCAAACAGTAAGGAAATACAAATTTAATAAACTCCGTTGTGTCTTCATTTTTAAGTTGACTGGGATATATCGAGTCGACTTATGAATGGAAGTTATTATAATTAATTGATAATTTGTCGTCAATGCATTTGAATTTCTAATTATTGAGGGTACATTTCTGATATTATAATAATTTAAGTTTTGTTCAGAATGGCTAATTTCTTTAGTGATCTCAAAATTAATTGACTCAATTCCCCTCATCGATCTATCATTAAGGGCGATTTGTTTATATTTGTACCCATCGAACTATTTAAATCACATTTAATCTCAATATCAATGTTTAAATAAAATCCACTTTTGTTATGGCTATCAATTGCTGTCCAAGAGCGGAACGTTGCAATATACTATGAAAAAGGCGTCTGTTGTATTCAAATTCTCCTTTACATGCCTGTGCCTGGGGTAGATAATTATATAACAGGTGTTTTTTTACAACTAGTATTGATTATGATAAGAAATCTCATAAGATGCACTTCTGTAATCACTATAAATTGTTGTGCATTTTCCGTTAATCATGATGAACATTTGTAAGTTGGACAAAGTTTTTACAACTAGTCTGTAAATATGTCATCCAGAATGACTTGAAAGTGCTGGAATCTATATTTTCTTTGTATTTCACAGCATCCATTTCTATACTTCTTGAAGTATTGCGCATTTTAGTAATGGTAAAGTACATTGCGTATAGTAGTGTCTATTAATTTGTCATACTTTATTTCTGAAATTAATCTCCACCATCAATTTAAAGACACTTTTTGATGGAAAAAGAAAACAAGGGGTCCATTGGCCTCACAGGTCTCCTGAGCATCATGCAGAAACTTTCAAATGATTGAATTTGGTTCATATTTTAAGCTAGATGCTATGGCATTCACAATTTTGAAAGAGGCACCATTGCTAATCATAACTACATACTTATCAATTGCTTAGTTTGTTTACTTAATATCCATAGGTAAGGTAGTAGAACAAAAAAATCATTTCAACTAATCAGTAATATTCAGCAATAATCAGAAGTGCCGTAGTTATACATGAACCCCTTACCCTAGGTCTACACATTACACAATTTTTGAAAATGCACACTTGCTTATCAAAAATGTGCGATAAATAACAAAGAGCAAATTTAAAACAATTAATTTTCAGTATATAAAAAGGAGCCCCCTTCCTCTTTAGTATCCGTGACCCGAGGACCATGAAATTCAGGATTCCGGAAGATCAACCCTTGCATATCATAACTATATAAGTTGTTCACCTGCTTATTACCCAAAAGCATATATTGGATTCCAAATTTTCATAAAAATCCTTACAAACAAAGATACCTTGCGGGTTCCAGTACATGTTCAAGCAAACATTTTTCGTTACTCCTCACTAAGATATTGACAAGAGGCAAAGAAAAAACTTCAAGAGTGCTGTGCAACAATATATTCTAGAAATGGTGTGAACCAGATGTGGATACTCAACAATTCCAAAGAACTTTAGGACAATTTGAAATCACAAGATTTTACTAAAATCAACAGCTTAAAAACTTTTTCAAAACGTCTTTTCAACTTTATACACAACCATTTCTCGCGATAAATTAAAGTCCAGGCTTTTTGATATCATTGACAGCTGCTTTTTTTTTATATATAAAAATGGAACTCGTAAATATACTTGCAAAGCACAATGCGTGCTCCACGTATGAACAATTTCTAAAACGAGGTAAATTATTGACATGCAAATTGCTGAAACAAGAATATCAACAGTTTCGTTTAAAGTCATTATTTCGTAAGTTCAATGGTCGATCCAATGACCTTGTCAGCAAATGCAATTTATCATTGAGTCAAATGCTGACTGACGTTTTTCATACCAATTGTTAGTCCATTATTTATACACTGAATTGAATTGACGACGGATTTTTTCCGTTATTTCCTGATCATGACAAGGAGCACACTGCGGTTTGACTGGTCAGCAGGGGATGCTCATTCCTCCATGGCACCTGACCCCATCTCTGATGTTTCGTGGGTCCGTGTTTGCTCTGCTCTTATTTTGTATTGTTTTACGGACTTTGAGATTGAATACTGTTCGTTATCCCCATATCCTTCTTTGATATGTTGTGCAAAAGTTAATTTTAAAAAATCACATTTTTTTCAAACTCTTTTTGGATGATGCCTGTGGACAATATTATCTGAAAGAACATTCCTTTGAAAATGGTGTCTCCTGCAAATGTTCAATAAAATACGGGAAACTGCACATGTTTATGACGTCACAATTAGCATTTAGAAATACGGGTGAGAAAAATAATTTGTATGATTTTTCTGAATTTCAATGATTCAGACAGCATAAAATTTCATTTTTTACACCATTTTATCTTTAAGAAAATCACAAAGCAAATATCAGTAGTCTCGTTTAAAGTCATCATTTTGTCAGTTCTATGGTCGATACAATGACCTCGTCAGCAAACACAATTTATCATTGAGTCAAATGCTGACTGACGTTGTTCATACTAATTGTTAGTCTATTATTTATTCACTGAATTGACGGCGGATTTTCCTTTATTTCCCGGTCATGACAATAAGCACGCTGCGGGTGTGACTGGTCAGCAGGGGATGCTTACTCCTCCATGGCACCTGAATCCACCTCTGATGTTTCGGAGGTCTGTGTTTCTTCTGCTTCTATTTTTCATTGTTTTAAGGACTTTGAGATTAAATACTGTTCGTTATCCCTATGTCCCTCTACAATAGATTTGAAAGGTCTGATTTGGGTATTATTATCATTTGGTTATAATTTTATTTGCATATGAAAGAATAATTTATTAAACGTCGTCAATTTGTTTGATAGTCTTCTGATTTTATTTCTCCACTTTTTTTTTTTTTGGATAAAAAATACCATTCTTCTATTTTGTATATATTATTTGTCTATTGTATTTTAACATTTTGCTTATGTTGAATATATGCTAGTTTAAAGTATTGTTGAACCAGGCAGTATTAAATCAACCAATACCTACTATATATGAAAACCAATCACAAAATAACGACCAGGAAACGATGAATTTTATCTTAATTTTTCATCAATAAAATGTATATTATTGATGACAACATTTGATAGGAGGACATCATGTGATGGAAATTGCATTTCATAAGTGGACAATAATATAATAGTAGCAAAGAATTAAAGAAAGCTTAAATATAAGTTACAAATGCCTTGAAAGACCTTTACAGTGGAATCGGTATGAATATTTCATGTGTACAGAGAATTAAAACACAGTGAGATAGAAAAGGCATTGTGTTTACCATAACAAGTCTTTTGTTTGTGTAAATTCAATGAAAATTAATGCGATTACAGGTATTATGCAACATTTCTAACAGTATGCTTGTAACAAGAAGAAAAGATAATATCTACCAGTTTTGAAATTGAACTTGAATAAGAAGAAGGATATGGAAATAACGAACAGTATTCAATCTCAACGTCCATTAAGAATAAATATACATATAAATAAAGTGTTTTCTTTTTAGTATAATTGCTAAATGCAGATAGATTTCACTGGTATAACATTCACGTACTAGTTATTGAAATTTTAACAAATGGGTACTTTGAGAACTGAGCTGACTAACTGATACCCCCGCCTCCAATATGAGTATAGCGGTAAAATATATGACCTAAAACAAAAGTCATATAAAGGTTAAAGATGAGGTTACAATGGCTGTGAAAGTACCACAACATTTTTTTCAGTGGTGTTGAAAACGTTTTGGGTGAGAGATGGGTGCTCTTCAAAATTTCAGCGTCGAATCATATTTTTTTGGTAGATACATTTATATAGTATCAGAACATTAACTATGTGTGCAAGCAAAATAACCCCCCCCCTTTATTTTTTCTGAACATTTTTTTTTTGCACGAAATTATGCTTACATATACATTTTTCAACTTTTTGACTGTAAATGATATACATTTTCGAAGCACTTTTTGATCTGTTAGGTGGGTTAATGTTTCTTTTGTTTCTGTTCAATGTGAACATTATTTTTTTTTTTGGCTTCTGACGTTTCCCTTTACGGCGTTTTACGTTTGTGACGTCAAAGCTAAACGAATAATTGAAACTTAGTACCCTCTGTCTGTGTTATGGTGGTTTGCATTTATATACACAAAATGCAAGTAGAATGTTACTTAGTAATATCATTGCAAAAATAGCAATATTCATGTTCTGTTATGAGAAATTAAAAATACGAGGGTTGATAAAAAAAATTTCCGGAATTTCGTTCTAAAATCTTATCGTGAATTGATAAAAACAGGCATTAGACACATTATGTAATAGAGTCGATATGCAAAAATGCTGGAGATTTTCACTACTTTCCAATTACCCTAATGGTTATAAGAAATTCCTGAACATGGTCATTTGTAAAATCCGGGGGAGATTTCGAGGTGAGGTCACGTTAGGTATGTGACGTCACTTTATAGGAACAGTTCGTCATCACCTTCTACATTTAATCCCCTTTTACTTCATTTCTACATTGAAAAATAATCTAGGTGATCTCTCTTTTCCATTAATCTTTAAATCAGGATGATTTTTTTTTTCAAAACACTCACCGTCTTTCCAAAGAATGTTTGGATTTCAGACACAATGTAAAACACAGTACATGTACATTGTCTGCCACGTCTATTAACGCTTAAAAATCTGTGTACGAGGAAAACATGACCTGAATAAAGGCGGTGACACTTTTAATTAACCTTTATATT